CTCGGATCCGGAGAGAGCAGACCATCATGGCATAGAGCAGCTCCAGCTCAGCGGCGACGGCTGGTTGTCGAGGAGGTGCGACGGCACGAGCAGGCAACGAGGTGTGCAAAGGCTGTCTCACAAGCCAAGCAAGGGCAGTGGATGAGATGGGAGGGAGTTGAGAGGAGAAAGTTCTCTTGGAGGGAGCTGATGAGCATGGAAGCATTTCACATCAGCTTCATCTTACGTGCAACGTACGACGTCCTGGCTTCCCCCTCAAACCTCAACCAGTGGTACGGAGAAGACCCAACGTGCCCCCTCTGTCCATCCCCCGCAAACCTCAAACACATTCTGGTTGGATGCAAGACAAACTTGTCACAAGGCCGCTATACCTGGCGACACAACCATGTCCTGAAGTGCCTAGCAGCCACCTTGGAGTGCAGACGACTAAAGAACAATGCCCTGCCTCCTCCATCATTCTATCCTTCATATGCAAGGGAGTTCATTCGAGAAGGGGTAAAGACAGCCAAAGGCTATACAACAACGGTTATCGGCCAGCTCGGAAAGGCTCGAGACTGGAAATTGGTGGCAGATTTGAACCAAAGGCTTTACTTCCCTTCTGAGATTGCCACAACGAACCTAAGACCAGACCTCGTGCTCTGGTCCCCATCACTCCACATCGTGTACACAATAGAGCTTACCGTTCCCTGGGAGGATGCTGTAGAGGAGGCATTTGAGCGCAAGAGACTTAAGTACACCGAATTGGCAGCTGATGCTGAGCAACGCGGATGGAAATCCAAGGTTTGCCCAGTGGAAGTCGGCTGCAGAGGCTTTGTGGGCAAGTCAACCATCACGCTGCTTAAGGAACTGGGAGTGCGAGGCCAAACCCTACGCCAAACCATCAAAGCCCTCTCAGGTGCAGCAGAAGAAGCAAGCCGTTGGATATGGGTGAAAAGGGGAGACTCCAACTGGGCCCCTAATACCACCTGTGGCATGTAAGGGTTGAAAGCAGAGGGGGGCACACCTGGGACGCCAGGTGCTGCCGATGAGCCCTCTGGATTTGTCGTGGGCCTGTCATTGAAACACCAGTGAAGGGGGGTGCCCACCTGATGACCCCAAATGAAGCTTAAACCCCCATTCTTATCCCAATAAACCATTACCACAGTGAGGAAATCATTCCAATGAATGCGTTGTTACCACTCAGACCTAAAACCTGTCACCACTACAGAGAGGAAACCACTCCGATGGATGCATCGTCACCACTCATACGTCAGGTCTTAAACAGGGGATTGTTTCACCTAGTCCTAAATCATAATAATTGTTAGTCTTAAGGTTATGAATAAGCTGGTGTGTTCCAAAACAATGACAAAATTCGCATTTAGGAAATATAAGCATTCAAAACAGTCTCTCATTCCGCTTAAATGGATCACAGATTTTTATGACATCACCGCGGACTTCAGCTTCTCATAACATTTTCTGTCCAATCAAATGCTCTCTAAAATCTAAAGCGACCTGCCCCCTATACCACCTGGCAAAAGCGACTGTTGACACGTCACAGAGGAATATAGGTTGAAGATGAGTGTTCGGTTGCTCAAACGCTCGAGTTTTATTCCGTTTTCCAATTGTACGTTGGTTAAGAATGAAATGGCTAGAATTTATTCACAACTCTACTCTACTATTGAATCCAACATATCATAAGCACTCGGATTCGCTTCCATGGTGCTGTCAAGTACGAATTGCAGTCTGTGAGGTAAACTAAACGCTATTGACTATTTGAAAAGGGGGAGGAGCCATTCAATATGTCCCGCCTTAGCTTCTTGTTTCAGTGGAAATTACGTCAACACATCATACAAAGCTGTGCGTTTCAAGACATTTCAGTGGGCCTTTGAATGATTTTCATCATTTAAAATGTGCAAAAATTAATTGTGGTTAGTTAATTCATTTAATATATTGTCAAAAGTTTGAAAACAAGCAGCTTTATCATAATTAGAGCAGATTCAACAGGGAAATGTTGGAGAAACAGAATGCAACCAGAACAAACAGACAAACTTAGGGCTATACACACAAAGCTGAATGAGGAACCAAACAAGACACAGGTGAATATAATCAATGAAAAAATCACAAACCATAGAAACAAACTAGCAAAGGAAACCAAGTCAATATGTGGCAACAGAGGATACATAGGGAGCAAGTTTTGAAAATGATGTGTTCAGTCTATATGCGTGTAAGTGACATCGCTAACTACTGGCCTGGCAGCAGAATACAGCGTTTTTAATCATTTTGACTGGTTTTTGTTTTGACAGCGTTGATGTCTTTTCTTTCAATAAAATAAACACACAAGTAAAATGACAGTGATGAGAAAATAGCAAAGAAAGCATATGATCATAGCGATGTGGATATTTGCACAAGATTTGCAATTCAGCACTCCAGTAGTCATGTTTATTTACATACCACTTTATACAATAGACTGTTTTAAAGAAAGCAGCTTTACAGAATTAAACATGGAAAAAAAACAGTATCAGTGTCTCTTTCAATTAGAATTACATTTTTAATTTCTACTATAAAGCCACTTTCCAGTGAGTACATGTTTTTACTCGTGGACGTCCGAACTCGAGGGACTGAACAGAAGAATTAAACTTGAGAATTTCGACGTCAAAGAAGACAGAGCACACCTAAAGCTGGGGTGAAGTGCAATCCTAAATGAAATCCATATGGCCAATTAGCATGGGGCTATTATGGAACCCACAGACAATCATATAGGGCCCATATTTCAGCCCATTTCATACCCATATGGGCGGCCACATACAAATGTTGGCTGGGCTATTACGTAATCTCCACGAACCAATGGTAGTTCAAAGGTGTTTACCAGCCAGAGCCAAATTTCTGTAAAGTTTGCATTGGCAAGCTGTTTCAAACTCCCGAAATGAGCACAAAACGAGCGTTGCTTTGACCTGATTTTGTTTGAAATAACGTCACACCAGTTCTTTCTTCGATTTCGCTTGAAGAATATCGAGGCCTCAAGAATTCTTGAACAGAAACAGAGAATCTGTGACAAAATGAGGGGCCTTCAAATATCATATTTGACAATGGGAGGCCTTTAAGTCACAAAGGTTAAAGTCCCAATGTAGTCAATAATTTTATCCCTTAAATCATTGATCACCAAAATTACATATTTAAACGTTTTTTTCTTGAAAACAAATTTCTTCATGTCTTAAAAATAGCTTGATGTAACTCTACACCCTTGCCTCATTAAGTACACTCCGTAATATGAATATGCAAATTAGCCCCACCTCCACTCACTCATTGGTTACAAGGTAGTTTGTCTTGGTTCAGTGCAATTTTAAGGAGAAAATACTCAGCAATAGTGTTGACATGAATGTACACACGATTTGTCTTAAAGGGGTGGTGCCCTTTTCACAAGATGTAAAATAAGTCTTTGATGTCCCCAGATTGTGTATGTGAAGTTTTAGCTCATAATACCCCACAGATATTTTTATACAGCATGTTAAAATTGTCACTTTTTGAGGGTGAGCAAAAAAAGCACCGTTTTGTGTCTGTTCCTTTAAATGCAAATGAGCTGCTGCTCGTGGCACAGAGGGCGGAGCTTCAAGAGTTTGCACACAGATATGCACTGAAAATTTCAAAAACTTTTAGCCTTCTATGTACAAACTGGATTCAGACAATGGTGGAGAGACTCAAGAAGAAGTGACAACATGAATGCAACTGGATATTTCTGAATGGTTAGTTGATGTGTATGAATGTAGTTCATGTGTAAGTTATCTTCTAGTTATTGATTAGCATATTCTGTCTTGATAATCTATAAATCGTGTTCAGGGTGCGGGGTTTATGTACATTCTAGGGTTGGTGATGTCACTAATCCTGGAGGAATGTCATGTAGTCCCTGCCAGTCATTTGTTGTAGTCCTTAAAATGCAATTTCTTTAAAAGCAAATATCTCCATTGCATTGTAACCTTGCAGATGTTGTTTATGCTCAAACAGCAACATTACACACTAACATCTTTTGTGTTCAATTGAAGAAAGACATTAATATAATTGTGAATAATGACAGAATTTTCATTTTTGGATGAAATCTCCCTGTAAAGTTTCGCAGATAAAAGAACACCTATAAATACGCCATAGCTTTATACTCATTTTGGGGTAGTTTAACAAAAATTAGTCAGATACTTATTACTTATGGGTGACATAGGCCTATAACACTATTCAGTTCATAGAAAGAGAATTTATTCCTTTACTTATAAAATATGTAGTTCAAGTTAAGATTGTATGGCTAAACATAGTACGGATTTTTTTTCATACAAGTCATAATCCTAACACCCACACATTCATTTCACAGGCTGATTTTGTGGTAAGAATTGAGGGGATTTTTCATGCATGTATGTGAGACTCAGCATTGGAAGAGGAAATAATTCTGCTTAAGAAAAATGAAGAGCAGTGCTGTTTTAATCCATTTACAATGATTGTTAATAGTACATCACATTGTTCAATAAATTGTTTCCATGATTATTAAGTTCCTTAGTTAAAACTAATTGCACCACTAAAGCCTAGACTTCCCACTCCTTGTCACAGAAGGATGTGGATGTGTGTCAGCCAGCGTGTCCTTGTACAATGCGAGCTGATTAAGACTGAATTAAAGATGAAAATCCTGCCACACTCTTCCAATTTGCATATTTGCAGCCCATAGGAAAATAAATTATACAGAAACAGGTGGAAGTCCTTGATTTGCAGTGTGTGGGAGAACAACCTGGGTTTAGAAAAGCATAATAAAAGCACTTTACGATCAGGGAACGCAATTAAGATTCATGCAGAATGCAAAAAGAAACATGATAGGAGAAATTTTATTCATGCAAAAAGTACAGAAGGTGAGCAGTATATGTTTACGTTCTATAAATCATGCATTTTTTGAGACTATATCTACTTTAAAACTTTTGTTCACTAGTAAACTACTAGTAGAATATCAAAAATGACGGACAGTGTTGCTCATCTATATCTCAAGGAACAAGTAAAATACTTTGCTTCCTTCATAAGGAAATAAATATAGAAATACAGCTAAACAACATGTCACTTTAAAGCCAATGTAAAAATAAGTATATTGAAAGACACGATATAATGAATTTGTCCACCTATGTACAACTCTTTTCACAGGGTCCCAGACCAGACAAGAGTTTGGTAATGACCTCTACCTAAAGCTAAGCAGGACAACAGTCATCTCATCGTCTCGGCCCATCTCTCAGTTCATTATTAGCAGCCGAGGCCACTCATAGAGCCGATCCGGTCCAGTTTCAGGCCAAAACAGCCTCGATTCCATCCCCTCCGCAACCGGTCCGGTGGAGCTCGCTTCTGATTGGCCAAAGCCCCCCTCAAGAGGCGGAGCCAGGCATTCTCGCTCTGCAAAGGTATGTCAATCCACTTGGGATATTCTGCAACCTTTACCACAGAGCTGAAGGTCTGCATGGGATCCTCCGACTGGTCACTCGTAAGGTTCTCAAGATCATCAAGGGTCAAGAGGTCATTGTAGCGCTCAAGAAACTGCTCAATGACCTGCATTGCAGAGAAAGGAAATATGTTTCAATGGCTGTTTACGACTTTAAAAATATATGTGTACAAGTACTGAGGAAGCCCACCTGCATGGCTTTGTGAGGGGTGTGCAGGGCTCGGGTGTGGCCCGGCACCGGATTGGCCAGAAGGACTAGAAGCACCACAAATACAGAGGAGCACAGCATGGTGCAAGTGATATTGGCCCCGGATACACCTCTAATGCGAGTCGGGATTTAGGTGAACGGTTTTAGATGAATGCGCTCAAACACAGATAAAGGAGAGAGACGCATGGGAATACGAACAAAAAAACATTCTGCAGAAAATACTACACAGTACATACAAAGAAACACAAAACACAGAAAGAGGTTAGTCTGTGTTATTGTTATGCATTTTTTGCAAACCATTTGAACAAATTCAGCTACACAGATATTTTATTATAAATGATTTAGATTATAAAACAAAATAGCATCTTGGAGTACACAACAAGATTTGATGTTATTTTTTTATCACTGATGATAGACTGTAATCTTATAGTGCACTCCAAGATGCAGGCTTTATAAACAACAAAATAAAATAACATGTTAAACAACATTTTTTAATTATACAGTACATAAAAAGATAAAATAAAATCCAGGTGATTGTAGGATTTTGTTGTTGTTGACATTTTAATGTAAATACATCTCCTTTTTTTTGTATTTTCCATCACAAAAATTATTCTCATTAGATTAGTTTAATTCAGAACACTAAAAACGACAATGATTTAAATCAGGATAAAGATAAAGTACAACAAATACTACTACTATGATGTATAAAAACCCCATATAATATAAACTTTTTCACATTACAAGAATAAGAATGATTTTAAAAAGTATTTATTTGTTTGTTTTTGTATTACGGTAAAGAGTATTTGAGGGAGTGCTACATTTTCATAAAAAATAATGATATAATATGATTAACAATGCAAAAAAAAAAAAAAAAAAAAGTTCCTTAAAGATAAAGTTTCTTTGTTTTCTATAAACAAAACATAATTTTATTTTTATTTTGGGGTAAAGTATGACCCGGACATGTTCTTGGCAGGTTTTAGATTCACCCATATTTTATGGTGTGCAGAAATAAATTGCTTGCAAAAATGCCAAATATAATTTTATATTTATAAAGTAATGAAGTCTTAATGATATATATCTAAAAAATATATAGTTAATATAAGTTATACAAGTTCAGTAAAATTTAGTATTTAGTAAAATTCATGGTAAAAATCTGACGTGTTAAATTTGGTTCCACAATTTTCACATGAAAATCAGAAGATAAAGTTTTGTTTTACTCACCAATAATAGTTCCAGGATCTTCTACAACTTGACTGAATTCTTTAGTCCTGATCCATCCCTCTCTCTCTCTCTCTCCCTCTCTCGTTTCTCTCAGTTTTTGGCACCTGCTAAGAGCATCCCTGTCTTTCCTTTTCCTCTCTCTTCCTTCCTCTGAGTGCAGGAATGTGATTTAATGCGAGTGGTGTTTGTATGGCGAGTATGTTAATAGTAAGCATGAGGTATCTATATATGCTTTGCTCGTCCCCCCTTCCACTCATACCACACACACCTCTTTTCCCTCCCTTTTCTCTCTCTCTTCTTATCTTAATGTCTCTCGGATGATGTCAGAGGTATCGTGGGGGTGTTTGATGTTGTCGGGGTGATCAGGCATGGGGATGCCACTTTCTGCCTGGAAAATGACATCATATGCACGCACATCACAAAAGAAATCGTGACACAAATGCAGGGCACCACAACCAGGTGTTGCCCTCCTCCGCCCTCTACTTTAAATGATCTCATCCTTCCTTTATTCATTCCTCATCCATCCATCTCGTGTCCCCTTACATGCTTCTGTTTGCAAGGTGCAACTTTGGCTGCCAAAAGCACCACAGGCTGGCAGAATATTGTGTCTGTTGAGAGGATGCCAACACTTTTTTGGTGTACTTAACTCAAGGAGATATATAGAGCTTTCAATGTCTGTTTGGATAGGAATGAGGTATTTCTTGTTGTTCCTGTGTCATTCGCACATGTAAAGCAAATGCTTGAGTCCTAAAATCATGGTTGATATTCATCATCAGAATTGCATGAGAATAAAGCTACATTTTAAAGTGCATTTGCATTATAGGTCATTTATTGAATATGAAACCTTGATTTTTTCCGCATTAATCCGCTCTTGTGGGTCACTGTGAGAAATGTCTTTGCTTTCCTTTTTCTCTCTCTCTGTGAATGCCATCACAGTCTGCCAGTGCCATCTGCTTACTGCTCCCCCCGGCCTTAAGAACATGATACAAGAGCCTACACGCACACACACTCACACACACACACACACACACACACACATAGATATAAGGATTTTTATACTGTACAAACCGTATATTCTATCCCCTACCCCTAAACCCAAATAGATAGATAGATAGATAGATAGATAGATAGATAGATAGATAGATAGATAGATAGATAGATAGATAGATAGATGGAGGATTTTATTTTAGTAGTGTCATTTCAAGTCCTAGAAAAGGCATGTAAATTAACTAAATAAAAAAATGAATGTACGTTTCGTCGTTTTAGTTATGCCATATTTTATTGTGTAGGAATTGTGGGAGTATATATTTTTTAAAATCAGTATGCTTAATCCTTATCCATTAAATCATGAACGACTGTAAGAGTCATGTAAATGAATTTGTTAAAAAGAGTGGGAACCCTGAACAATATTCAGCTAAAATTTATGGAATCCTGAAGTTCATATTAATTATTTGTTAATTTGATTATTTACAAAATATACCCATATATTAAATAAATGTTTTAAAAACAAAACTAGGGCTAGGGGGACCTTCAAATATTGTTGTGGACAATGGAGGCCTTGGAGTCAAAAGGTTGAGGACCACTGACTTAATTCAAGCACAAAGACAACCTTAAACGTGTTGATATAATGCAGTCACAACATAACACAATAATTTCCCTTTACCACAACACAAACACAATATACGATTCATTTATGATCCAACTCTCATCATAAAGACACAACAGTGGTCTAACACAGTAATAGTCTGACAAAAACTCTTGTAGAAAACCACACACACATACACACACACACCCTGAGGTATCCCTGGCTTCATAAAAGCCTCAGCGTCCAGAGAGGGGCTCTTGTGTTTGATCAGGTTGAAGCCAGTGTTTTTACGGTTGTGTACCCTGTCTGAGTTTCTCACACTGCGAAGGATCGCAGGTTTATCCAGCCAGCTGCTGCCACTAGCACCCAACCCAGCAGGAACCTAGCAACAGAGCCATTTACAAGATCTAATTTATTTACATTACAGTGCTTATTTACTCTAATTACAGATATCAGTCAAATTAAAATATACCACATATAATATACAAGTTGTCAAAAGTCATTTAAAAAGTCATCATTTATTATTTGACCACTTTCAGTCATAATTAAAATGTATTTTGCTGCTTTACCTTGCATATTCACAAATTAAATGAGTAACAGCACTTTGCAACACTTTTCTTTCCAGTCTGATATAATTTGTGCTGTCCCATCCTTCTATAACAGCCTCTGCAAAACCTGTATTACGCTATTACAGAGTTTAAAAAAACAATCCACACACTGTAACGTATCACGCCATATTGTGAAATTTGAACTGAAATGATCAGGGATCTTTAGTTGCTTATTTGAACTGAAATGATCAGGGATCTTTAATTGCTTATTTCTAACACTGGGATCCTTCAGAAGGATATATGCAGAGGAGTAGGTGCTACACACAGCCCGGCCGATAGAGGAAACAACGTGTTTGGTGGAGACTTGGACTTGGCAGAACTGGGTGGAGTCGGTGTGCCTGAACACAATGGTGGAACCGGAGGGAAGGAGGAGACTGGCGGAACCAGAGGGGTGGAGGGTCGAGGCACAGCTGAAGACTTGAAAGTCTGAGGCGGAGCCAGAGCAATGATAGACCAAGGTGGAGCCAGAGGGATGAGGGAGCCCGGCAGAGCCTGAGGGGTGACAGACCATGGTGGAGCCGAGGAAGCGTTGAGTCATGTTGGAGCAGATGGGTTGGAGGGTCATGGAGGAGTCTGGGGCCAGAGGCTTGAGTTGGAGCTGAGGGATCCACAGGCCAAGGCAGAACTGATGAGTGGAAAGTCCCAGGCAGAGAGGAGAGGAACTAGATGGCTTAGGCCAGGGGTGTCCAATCCTGCCCCTGGAAGGCCAATGTCCAGCAGAGTTCAGCTCCAACCCCAACTAAACAAACCTGAACCAACTAATCAAGGTCTTTCTAGGCATACTAGAAACTTCCAGGCAGGGGTGTTGAAGCAAGTTGGAGCTAAACTCTGCGGGACATTGGCCCTCCAGGAGCAGGTTGGACACCCCTGGCTTAGGCAAAGGTGAAGGAGAGGGAGGCGGGGCGTGAACATCCGTGACGGAGACTTGGAGCTGGGCAACGGTGATGAAGGCAACTAGGAGCTGGGTAGCGCCAATGGCGCCAAAGGTGACAAGAGTTTAATTCTTACAAATAGCAAGAACACTACACATATACCAACTTTATCCACAAACACCAAACTTAACTGAGGGCTTAAATACACAAGGAATGATAATCAACAGAACAGTGAACAGGTGTGCACTAATAAGAAACCATAACGAACCAGAAACTAAACATATGACAATGAAACAGAACAGAACATAGCTATGAACTAAACAAGACATTAATGTGACATTTTAATGGAGGTGTTTTCAAACGAGATACCATCTGGATACCATATTTACTGATGTTGTATAACAAGAACTGCACTGAAGGTTGATGGAACAGACATTTCTCCGGAACAGGTTGAAGTCTCTCAGGCGTTGGAGGACATCCTAAACGTGCTGGTGATTTTCAGCCAAGCACCAAGAGTAAACAAGAATGTCATCAATGTAGACTAGTACAAACCGGTGGAGGTACTCCCAGAGCACTTGTACTCCCAGAGCACTTGCATAAAATCCTGGAATACAGAGTTGATACGGCATTGATCAGGCCATACTGCATGCATGATGCAGTACTCATTGTGGCCTGTAGCAGTCACAAAAACGATCTTCTATTTGTCTCCCTCACGTATCCAGATGAGGTTGTAGGCACTTCGGAGGTCCAACTTGGTAAAGATGGTAGCACCTCTAAGGTGTTCCAGGGCTGCTGGGACGAGGGGAAGTGGATAGCGGAATTTCACAGTGATCTTTTTAAGTGCCCGGTAATCAATGCAGGGCCTCAAGCCTCCGTCCTTCTTTTCCACAAAAAAGAAACTCGATGCAGCAGTGGAGGTGAATGGAGAGTGGGTATATTTTGCCACGGGGCACTGGCTTACTCACTGGCTCGTCTTGGGCAAAATATGTCACTAAAGGGGGTGTAATCAGCAGGAACGTCAACTGATTGTTTCTCTAGAGAGCTCTCTATCGAAGTGGAAAGGACAGGTAGGGTCTTGACTGATGAGCTTGAGGGTAGAGGTAATTCTGGGAAACATGTTGGGAAACATTTATCACCCCACTTCAGGACTTCGCCTGTGGACCAAGACAGAACCGGATGGTGTTCGATGAGCCAAGGGCACCCTGGGAACGATATCAGCTGTGGAGTTCTTCAGAACCAGGAATTCGATGTTCTCAACATCAAGGAGTCCTACTCGTAGCAATACTGGTCCAACACTGAAGCATACTTGTTGTCAGCTGAGCGGTCTTCCAGTTATGGAATGGACCTTGTAACAGACTTTGTTGTACTTGTGAGTTTAAGGTGACGGCAGAGCTTCCTGGAAATGAAATTCCCGGCTGACCCACTGTCAATGCTGGCTGGTGGATGTAAGTGGTGATAAATGAGAATTAATATTATTTACGAAACTCACCACTGACTGGACGAGGAGGACGAATGGGGCAGTGATTTATGACATGCCCCTTAACACCACAGTACAGGGGAAAGGCACTGGGTATGGCGATGTTGCCACTCAGCCTGAGTTAGATGGGTGGACTTGACTTGCATGTGTTCCACACTTGGTTCTGGAGAGCTGACATACTCAGGTTGGCAGGGAAGTGGGTAGGCTTGCTGACCCTGTTGGTGTTCCATACAGCCCTGCACACAATGAGCTACTCTGATGGAAAGTTGGACGAATTTCTCTAATCCCATGGCATCATCGTATGCATCGAGATGCAGCCGCAGTTTAGGCTTGAGCCCTTGATGGTAAGTGGTGAGGAGCAAGTGCTCGTTCGTTCGATCCGCTTGCAGCAGCTAAAGTATGGAAACGTAAGCCATAATCGTTAATAGAGCAATTTCCGTTTTGCAGATGATACAGTTACTCATCAATACTGGAATCTCCCACAGATTTTCTAAATACTTCACGGAAGTGAGCCACGAAAAGCGTTCAAGGATTGAGTCACGGGGCTATCCTGATGCCAAATTCTTTCCGCCAATTGGAGTGCTCACCCCGTCAGCAGTGAAATTATGAAGAAATACTTTAGCCTTTTCTGTGGGGAATTGTT